TCAAGGCATGTAAGCCTTTTCCTGTCACTAGATAAATTGGTTTGAAAAGTGTTAACTGTGTCAGCATGTTGGCGGCATTTTTTGTGACTCTGGCAGATAATATGCATTTTTTCCCCCAACAAAGCTGTTGTTGTGATAAATTTCAGTGTCAGCTGCAGTTATGTGTAGTTTTTACCCGTATTTGTAAAATATACAAATGTTGAAATTCTGTTACACTGGGTCTCTAAAGGTTAATGGTGTACTTTCTTTTAAATTAGAATCTCTAATGAAGTATATTTATGTTTTTTGTTTGACCTCCGATCTCTCCCATCAGGCACCTGTATCTAGAGCGGTTTATGACCTTTCAGATGGCCCTGCAGAGGGACGACTGCTGGTTACCACTCATCTCCTACCGTAACTCTCTGCAGGCGGGCGCTGATGATGACACTTTGTCTGTCATCAGCGGTATGAGCAGCAGGAGCTCCGCCCGCAGTCGCAGGAGCAAACCACCTGCCGCCAGCAAGAGAAAACTACCCGAGGGTACATATGCATTGAATCGTAATTATATGATTAATTATAATTTTTATAGATTAATCTATAATCTTTAGGATAAAACTGACTTCCTGTTTCATTGTATTCTCTCTATGTCTGTCTCTCAGAGGAGAGTAGCTGTAGCAGCAGTGATGTGAGCATGTGGGTAAATCGTGAGCAGAGTGGCCCGCAAACTCCTGTAATGATGTCATCACCCCACATCGTCTCTACTGTCCTGCGGGATGCAAAGAAGCTCCGCCCTGAGCAGGGGTACATGGGAGTTTACAGCATGAGCAACGAAACGCCACACACACCTCTGCAGCCGCAGCACCAACACATGAACTACAAGTAAGCACACAAACACTAAAATTTTTCCACATACTCTCTCTAACACACACACACACACACACACACACTCTCATTAGTAAAAAGTTGATTGCAAGCTGTTTTGTTTTCAGTTCTCAGGTCGCGTGGATGATGGCCCAGAAACAGCAGCAGGAAAGAGCAAGCCTGCAGTATGGCAAGATGAGAGGCCACATTCAGCACACCATGTTAGTACACATTTACATACATATATTGAGATCTGTATGATTTTTTTTTTTTTTTTATATATATAGAAATTAATACTTTTTTTCAGCAGCGATGCAGTAAATTGATCAAACGTGATAGTGAAGACATTTATAATGTTACAAAATGATTTCTATTTCAAATAAATGTTGTTCTTTTGAACTTTATTCATCAAAGAATCCTTAAAAACGTGTATAACTGTTTACACCAAAATATTAAGCTGTTTTCGACATTCATAATAACAACAAATGCTTCTTGAGTGTCAAATGAGCGTATTAAAAGTATCACGCGACATTGAAGAGTGAAAAAAATTGCTGCTAATCATTTAAAAAATATTCAAAAATTGTTTACTATATATTTTTTTATATTACTGTATTTTTCATCAAGTAAATGCTGACTTGCTGAGTGTAACATTTAAAAAATCCTACCGACTTTTGAACAGTAGTGTATATACACATAGTGTTGCACCTTTATGGATTTTCTGGCCTGATTATCAATTACTTGTGATTTTATATAATTTCACCTTTTGCATTTTAATGCTATTTTGTTGACAAAGTAGCATTGCTCCGTTTTATGGTTTTTGAATAGGGCTGCCACAGTAACGAGATTTGAACAGTTTTGATTGTGGTCACCAGGCCTCAAAATCTCACATGGTCATTTGCATTCTTGCACTCATATTGAATTTTTTTTAACATTTGCTTGTTTGCCAGTCGGCGTGGCAGTGGGCTGATGGAGGATGATGAGGAACCGATTGTAGAGGATGTGATGATGTCATCAGAGGAACGACTGGACGACCTTAATGAGGGCATGGACTTCGACACCATGGACATTGATCTGGTAGGAATCAGAATTCAGGAAAGCATAATATCAACCAGTGAAAACCCTTTCTAACGCAAAGATTTGCTGTCACTCAATCAGGTGCAGAGTCACAATGATAGCGTTGCTCAGATCTTCACATAATCCATCTAATCCGGTTTCTTTCGGCTGCGAGGTCGAGAGAAAACACATTTTGTTTGTCATTGTTTTTAACTTTACCTTTTTTGTTTTTCTGAAGCCTCCATCCAAAAACCGTAGGGAGAGATCAGAGCTGAAACCAGACTACTTTGACCCTGCCTCCATCATGGATGACTCTGTAAGCCTTCTTTCATCTGCCTGTTTATTAATTAATTTATTAATCCACTTTATAATTTATTCATTAGATCAGCTTGTTAGAAATCTCTTAGCTTTACATTAAAGGAGGAACCAGAGGATTATGTGCTTTTTTTTAATCTTGTGCCAGTAAGCACCCGCCACAGCATTGTGGCAGTTTTTACATTTGATTAAATTTTTTCACAGAACTTCAAAAATCTAATTTGTTTGATTGTTCTCTCTGTCCATTTACTCGTCACTGTTAACTGAAAGACGAGATGCTAAGGAAGAACACGGCACTAAAGACCCATTCATGCCAATAACGATTTGTGACCCTGGACCGCAAAACCTGTCTTAAGTAGCTTGGGTATATTTTTAGCAATAGCCAAAAAAACATTGCATCAAAAATCGTTAGAATATTAAGTAAAGATCATGTTTCATGAAGATATTTTAAGTATATAAAAATATATTACAACTTAATTTTTGATTAGTAATATGCATTGCTAAGAACTTCATTTGGACAACTTTAAAGGCGATTTTCTCAATATTTAGATTTTTTTTGCACCCTCAGATCCCAGATTTTCAAATAGTTGTATCTCAGCCAAATATGGTCCTATCCTAACAATCCAAACCATACATCAATGGAAAGCTTATTTATTCAGCTTTCAGATGATGTATAAATCACCCTTATGACTGGTTTTGTGGTCCAAGGTCACATATATAACAAAACAAAAACCTACGAAGTTTAAAACATCATTCTAAAGTGACTCTGTGTGTGTGTTGTCTAACAGGTCCTTAATGTCTCCATGTTCTGAGATGGATGGTTCTCACATGAGAGCGGTGACATGTTTTCCTCATCTGATTTCACTCCATGAACTAAATGCACATGATGGTGCTGTGTATCTTTCCCTCCTGAAAACACACCATAACTGTACATATAACAGCCCACAGGGCGACACAAACATTTTCAGCATGAGATCAGACTTATCTATTCATGCTCTTTTGTAATGGAGGTTTAAAAATCGCTGGTTTTTTTTGTTGTTGTTTTTTTTTACTCCTAGAGCAGTTTTGATTTTTAGGTAATTTTGTAAAGACAATCAATTGTAAATGACTTTATAGAGGGTGATTTAAATCTAAAATTTATAACTCAACTTTCCTTAAAGGGTTTAGACTTGCAGTGTCTGTTTTTTTCACAGTACCTTTCTCTCTCTTTTTTTAATTCATCAATCACAATGTTTCACTTCTCAGAAGTAGGTTAAGCCTCATATTGTGATGATATTCCTCACTTAACTGAGTGGTTGATTTTTTTATTTTTATAGGTCCTCTGAGAGCTCCAAGCACTTGTACTGATTGGCTAACACTTAGAAATCCCACCCCTCCCTCAAAAGAGTTAAATTAATTTCTGGATTTATTTTTATTTTTAAGTTTTTTTTTGGTCAACTTCAAATTTCAAAGGTATTTCTGCATTGAGGGCATTGCCCCCTATTTTCAAAGAAAAGCTCTTTCTGTAGAATATATCCAATTTCTTTTTAAATATTATAAATGGGTATTATAATATATTGTTATATATCTTAAAAATATATATAATTATATATATGTATTATTTTGTTTTACACAAAATGTGTAATGTAATGTGAATCATTGCTGATTTATATTTAACTTAATGTTTTTATGTTTGGTATCCAACCTACCGTTTCATTCACATTGCATCTGTCCTGAGAGAATCACTGATGTTTTATTAACTTTCATTTTGGAAAAGCTCCACTGTGAAAAATTCTATAATCTTTCCCCTTTGTGTAGTTCATTGAGGTTGTGGGTTGTTTAGGAGGTTAGGCTTGTTAATCAGAGTGAATTATGATGATTGTCTTTGTGGTGAGAAGTCTTAGAAAATGTAACCATGGTGGTTTTATGCCTGGCAAATACATTTCTGCATGGAGTTTTTGGTCAGGATTGGAAAGGAAGCGTCTTTTATGTGTTTTACACATAGTTGGTCATTTGTCCCACTTTGATTTAAATTTTCGGTCCTGCAATGTCTTCTTATTTCCAAAAGTGTGTGAGTGTATGTATTTTAATGTATTGGACTGTACATAAAAACCAAGATGTTTTTATTCTATTTACAAGATGTCAGTTGTTTCATTTACTATGTTTATTGCATTTATATTTGGATATGAAATAAACCTTTAGATCTTTAGCACTGCTATCATTGGCAGCTGCACATTTTACTAAAATTCAAGAAATACAAATTTTGTTTACATTTTAATCAGTTGCTTTATTGAAGAATACTAGATCTCAGAATTATTATTTTTGTCTTTATATTTGATTAAAAAAAACAAAAAAAACATTTGTCCTACAAAATCATTTTTATGAACCGTGAATGCAGCTGTGACATTTTCTGGGTCATGCACAAGAAGGTCAGTGTTCTACAGTGGCCTGATCAAAGCCTTCATTCGCACAAAGAATCAATGACAGAACAAATGACAGAGATCAATGCTAAACAGTGCAAAAGATCTGGATATTTGCAGCATAAAAACCCCCTACTAAACACGTGATGAAGGGTTAGTTGTTTGTAGGCATGATATGTAGCATATTCATCTATTAAAAATAACTCTAACATAGAACTTAAGAATAATGTTGGATGCTCTGGATGTAAAAATGATGTCTCTAACTTTAGTTTAAAATATGACTGGTTAGGTTTCAGGAATAAACAAAAGTGGTCACTGAGCTCCTCAGCAGATTATTTTCTAGTTTCTATTTCTTTTTCTAATATTTCAGATGCACAAAGCTCTAACTTTAAGATGAGCCAGGCGAGCAACACCGAAGGTTAAAGACAATTGATTCAAATGATTTTTGAGTTTTTAGGTGTAAATGTGTCAATAGGGTGATAAAGTGGAAATTATGCTGTCTGCATGTTATAGCTGTTCAATAGAGACTGCAGGGGGCGCTGTAGTGCCTCGCTCCGATCGGAAATCTCTGCCATGACAACTGAACTTTCTAAAACTGACGTGAAATAATCATCAAAACATTGCGATTTAAACATTTTACACATTAATGTAAGGCCGATTTTGTAAGACTGGGCTTCCAGATGCTCAGGGAACACACTCTCAGAATAGAGATTTGAAGGTCCTGCCTTTATTTCAGTCTTTATGTGTTTATTACATGAATATCAGTCTTTCTATTTGTCTCCCAGCATCTGTCTGTAACCGCACTCCTCCTCTGATGACACCTGCTCAGTTTACTGGGGGTCCGCTAGCCCGGCCCACAGCTTCACAGACCACACCCACCCAAGTTCTGCCACAGTTTAGGGCTCTGCCCCCTTCTAAATTCAGTGAGGAGGGGTTTGGCTGGACAGAGATCAGAATGTCATGACCGATGCTGCACAGGAAGTGACCTTACTGAGGACCCAAATACAGGAAGTGATATCAGAGAGAGATGAGCTGAGAAATCAACTGAGGTGAGTATAAGAAAACAAATGTTGCTGATGCTGCTCTCTCTAAATGACAAATAATCTACAGGTCTGTTGTGATATCACGTGATTTGTATTTGTGCAGTGTCCTGAACAGCTCATTGCTGGAACAGTCTGAGTGTGTGCAGAAACTGCGGACATACATTGGCAGCCACATCACAGAGAAAAAGGAAGAGGAAGAGCTTAGACGACAAATACAGGTGTGTAAACACAGTCTGCTGAATTGCAATTAGTGCATCAGTTGTGGTCCTTTAAATAATGTTGAATGCATGAATGTAATTATTTTATGACTATGTGTCTATAGCATTTAAAGAAGGAAAAGGAAGCACTGTCTTTATCAGTCCAGCTGCTGAATGTTCAAGTTAACGCAGCCAATGACATTTGGGCAATTCAGGAGAAAGAGCTAGGTGAACAGGTAAGATTACACACATGCAGACATGCATAGGTAGTATTTGAAATTAATGACCAATGCATTTTGACAGATATGAATTCATTAATAAATTTAATGGTATTTTATTATGTGTGTAGGTGCAGACTGACCCATTGTACTCTGGCAGTAAAGCTGGGCAAATGTTGAGTGTTTGGAGACAAAAGGTCTTCATGCTGCTTGTTAAATTGCAGACCAGAGATTTACAACTTCACACAGAGAAAACACAACTGCATAACATGGTAATGCAAATGCATTCTCATGCACATGCATAGTGTACTATGATAGATGAACATTTCTAACCACTTTGCATGTTTATTTTTATTTGACCCCTGACATTTATTTTATTCATTTATTCATTTTTATCTATATAAGAGAATGTTTTGCTAAATATAGTGTCCATATACACCACTGTTCAAACATTTGGAGTGAGGAAGGTTGTTGTTTTTCCAGTTTTTACTTGTATTCATCAAAAACGCATTAGTTTGATCAAAAGGAATTTTTCATTATTATAAATATTTATAAAAAAAGAAGTTGTTCTTTTGAAATCCTGGGGGGGGGGAAGTATCAGTTTTCACAAAAATATTAAGCAGCACAACTGTTGTCAACATCGAAAATAATACATGTTCCTTGAGCACAAAATCAACATATTAGAATGATTTCTGAAGGATCATGTGATACTGAGAGCTAGACTAATGGCTGATAAAATTCAGCTTTGCCATCACAGGAATAAATGACATTTTAAAATATATTAAAATAGAAAACAATTTTTAAAAATTTTAATAATATTTCACAATATTATGTTCCTTTGTATTTTTAACATCTTTCAAAAGCATACAAAATCTCTAAACTTTTGAATGGATAATTAATGTCAGTTAATTAATTAAAATACATGTTCAGTCTGTACAATCTTGGCTGTCAACATAAAAAAAATGTCTGGTTTCCACATTAGATTACACATCTATTTATGTTCTACCGTCACATTGTTTTGTTGTTCAGCATTGAGTTATTGGGAGTGTTTACTTAAGGTTTAGTTAATTTTTTTGTATGCCTGTGTAGGTTACCTCTCTGCAGCAGCAAGTAGAGCGTTTGCAGTCGCAGAACAGTGTCCTTCAGCACCAACTAGAGGACAAAACGGCCCAGTTGAAGTTACAGCATGTACACGCAGAGGTACTTTGACATACAAGTATGCACATACATTAAAGTTAAGTCTGGTTGTGGGGTCAGTTAGATTTAGGTCTTGTGGTCCTTCCATTAGAATGAAATTCCTCTCATTGATAATGGATAAAGCCTGCACAGATGCCAGATGTTCTTCTGTTACTCATATTGGGTTTCTGAACTCAATGTACATTTTCACAGCGCTATACATTTCCTAACCAGGCATGCTGTGATGAAGGGTTTATTACATAATAGGTCTTCCAGGTGATATGATAGACGTGCATGAGAAACCGGACTGAAATTCTAAGTGGTTACTCACTAAAAATGTAGCTCTTTGATATTCGCATGATCAGCTTTTGCACTCCGTCTCCAGCCCCCATGAGCTCGTCCCTCATTCTTTTCTTGTTATCTTTGCTTTTTAACAGTTTGAACAGGTTGCATTGAGCTTAGTGAGGTTTAAGCTTGTTCAGCGTTGACTCATAGAAGATCTGCTGCTTTAACATCACATTGTTCATCCGTGATTACTCACTACATTCAGAGCAGCTGATCAGTGATGGCACTGAAACTCTTCTTCTGTATTGCCTGCAGGCAAGTGTGCGTTTCTGACAGCCCATGTGCTTGCTTTGTGTGTGTGTTCAGGGAGTACAGCAGCGGTTGGACAGTGCTCTACAGGAGAATGCTCAGCTGAAAGAGTGCAATAAGTGTACTGAGGGATCACTGAATGATATCAGTGAAACAGCACACAGGTAGCACACACAGCCACACCCCTTGAATCTGTTAGTGTTCTGTAAGTCTCTTTGGATTAAACAAGTTTTAAAAAATACCAACGTGACTGTCATGATTATATTAAAGCTGACTGTTCCTCTGACCAAAGCCCTGAAGCCAGCTCATCCATAAACATCTGTCTCTCTCTGTGTGTTATCTCTCTCATCAGAGTGATGTCAGCCATAGAAATGAAGGCAGGTCAGATGGAAGCAGTTCAGTCCAGTGTAAGTCAGCTGAACCAGAGACTCGCCTTCGCTGCCAAACGTCTGGACACAGTACATGGTGAGAATGTCATCTGTGTGCATGTAAGTGTGTTTCACTTTAAATATACATGGGCTGTTTGTCTGCAGGGCTGCTGTTAAGGAAAGAAGCTCTTTGGAGAAACAAGAAAGCTACTAGATCTCCAGAGCCAGCAGTGTCAGAGAGGTACAGGATCATAGGAATAAATCAAAGACATTGATATTCGAAGTAAAATTTCTTTATGGTGTTTTTTCCACCTCTGATTATTGGAAGCTTCAGGAACAAAAGATAGCTTGGATTCAGCTCAATCATATACAGTGGGTACGGAAAGTATTTAGACTCCCTTAAATTTTTCACTCTTTGTTATATTGCAGCCATTTGCTAAAATCATTTAAGTTATTTTTTTTCCTCATTAATGTACACACAGCACCCCATATTGACAGAAAAACACAGAATTGTTGACAATTTTGCAGATTTATTAAAAAAGAAAAACTGAAATATCACATGGTCCTAAGTATTCAGACCCTTTGCTGTGACACTCAAATATTTAACTCAACCTAAAACAAGCCAGTTTTGTAATGTTTTAGATGTTTTATCTCACAATGCATAGTAATATTCACACAATATTATTATTTTAAATATTATTATTAATATAATAATTATTATTAAATATAAATTATTAAACATTATTATTTTTAATAATAATTTGAAACAATAGATCGCTCTGTTAAGAGAAGATACAATGTTGGATTAAAAATGTAAAATAGCTGTTTTTATTTTATTTATTTTTTTCAGTTTTTCTTGAAACATTAATTGATCGCTCTGTTAAGAGAAGATACCACATTGGATTAAAGATTAAAAATAGCTGTTTTTATTTACAAGACATGCAGGGAGTGACAACTTTAGTATGCAACTGTTTGAAGCAGAAGTAGTAGTTTTATTTATATAGCGCCTTTCTATAGCTCAAGGTCACTTTACAAAGTATATTACAAGTACATTTGCACACCCACACACATTGCAACCACACAAGGCCACATATAACCATATTATCCAAAATACATATGAAATAGATACGTTTTTAGCGGAGTCTTGAAGGTAGTTTGGAATGTTAATCATGTGTACAGCTTTCACATTTATTTTTTTATTTGTGTATAATAAGCAGTATACTAGTATTCCGTTCCATTATCTCCTGTCTGTGTTGCAGGTTTATTAAGAGTCTCCAGGCTGAGGTGGTGTTGTTGAGCGCAGAGAGAGACAAACTCGCACAGAAACTCAAACGCACACCAGAGCTCATCCAGGCCTCCCTGTCAGAACTCCAGCAGCAGCATATGTACACAAACGTCAACCTGAATGTCTTCTGAAGATATTAAAGAGAGAGGACTGTAACTGTGTTGAATGCAAACTGCAGGAGAGAGAGAGCTGGGACACCTGAGGGAAGCTCTATCACAAAGCAGGGAGGAGTTGGAGGCATCAGAATCGAGTCGAATGGAGATGCAGAGACAATGTGAAGAGCATGAGGGGACCATTGTGGAGCTCCGTGCTGAGGCCCAGAGACTACAGCAGCAGTGTGACTCAGGTGCGTGAAGAGCAATGTGTATGAGTGAAGTAACGGCACCCCCCCCCCCCCCC